ATCGTGGTTCAGAATGATATTGGAGCCATGATCTTGGGCATGTGGATCTGGGTCCCACTTGCTAGGGAACTCGTTCCCCAAATAATAGGAATCGAGTTCCCATAACTCCGGATAAGAGATCCAAATATGCAAGGAAGTGTCTAGAATTGAGATCTAATCACTCGGTGCACGAGATCAAGATTCCATGGCAGAAGCGGACCCCTACATGGGCGCTCCCGGTAACTATGCTCTCTGTCCATGATAGTGCTCATAAGCTGTACATGCAAATTCTGTCCAATCTTCTTGCCTTTCATCATAACTAATTTTGACTCCACCTACACCAACAAATTTGCAGCCATTGGGGTCTAAGACACCCAAAGAGAGAAGGTTTTTTAACAAATCTAAAACATGTCTCACACCAGTCAAGGTTCTCACAACTTCATCATAATGTTGATATTAACTATCCCTACACCGACGATCTTACAGGTCGCGTCATTCCCCATCACAGTTGAGCCACCTTCAAATCTCCTCCAGTATCCGGAGAACTTGTCCATGTGAGGGTACATATGATAGGGACACCCCAAATCAAGAACCCATGAGAATTTAAAGTAAACTCAACTTGTCTAGACTGATAATACATTTTTTGTTCCACTTTTTAAGCCCCCCATCAACCAAATTAGCTTCAAGAAGGGATTCATTTCCCTTCTCTTTAAGTTTGATAATCCCTCTTCACATGCCTCTTGTTTTTACAGTAATAGCAATAAACATCAATCATATATGATTTTGATTTAGACAGGGACCTGCCCATTCTTTCATATCCCCTTTCTTTGATCTCAATCGACCTCTTGCATGAGGCTGAGCATCACCCTCCTTCCTCATATCACTCAAGAGAAGAGTTGTTGTCACATTTTCTATCTCTATGTTATCTTTTCTGAAGAGCAACGCTGTGACAAGTTGATTATATGACTGAGGGAGAGAACTTAATAGCATCATAGCTCTATTCTCTTCCTTCTTGACACGAATGCTCAATAATCAATGAATAATTTTATTAAATTGATTCAAATGCTCAAGGATATCGTACCTTCATTTATCATCAGGGTGTGCAACAATTGCTTCCAATTCAATGGTTTCATGAGGGACTTCATCATATACATGCTTTGTAGCCTTGACCAAAGCTTTCCTGCAGAATCCTCCTTGATGACTTTATACAACACATCGCTCGATAGTGCACAAGTTAATAGTGCTCATAGACCTTAGATCCAAGTCTTTCCAGTCCTCGTGGGACATGGATTCTAGTTTCTTCGTCATTTCTTTCAATGCTTTATGTAAATCGTGTTGCACTAGCAACTCCCAACATTGATCTGCCAAATTCCGTAGTTGTTTCTGCCATCAAATATCTCCATCTCAAACTTTGCATTTGAGATCTTCATTACCATTGCAACAACCCTAAAACCAGATTTCGATACCAGTTGTGTGCGGAAGCTCTAGAACCCGACAGGTTGATTTTTGGCAAAGCAAAGAATTGGAAAAAGAAAACGGCGACAGGCAATCAACATGCACAAGCAAAAATTGCAAAGGGAGAGAAAAAAACACAAATAACTTCATGGTTCATCATAGATATAACTACATCCACAGGTGAAGACGATCAACAGATTCTACTATGCAACAAAAAAAGAGTACAAGAAAGCTCTTACCCGAAAGAACCAGATAACGCAAACTCAATCTCTCAAGCTTCTCTGTAAACCCAAATTCTCCTTTTTCTTGTATTGTGCTCTCTCTCTTTCTACAAGCCAACCATTTTTAGAGAAAAGAACACCCCAAAAGAGAGAATGCCCTTCTCTATCTTCATATAAAGTGATAAACCTAATCCCATCACTGTCCTACTTTTTGGTGAGTCAACTGTGGGAAGATATCGGTTCACTTTGCATAGGATTTATACCCCCTCAAAATAGGAAAGTAATCGTGTTTTACACAGTAGAAAGATTTTTCACACAAAAATGGGAAACCAAAACCTAAAAATTAGGAATCCCAAAAAGTGGCCCACTTTTTGCCTTGGGATTCAACACATCCCAACAGGTGCAGCCATGTGTACTGCCATATTCACACATATAGAGGGGAAACTTGGGTTTTGGTTTAGAGAATTGTATGGGCACACGGTCTGCAAACCGAGATCCCTTGGTGGTTTTGGCATCCGTAGTCTCCAGAAGAACAACCTAGCTTTACTAGGTAAATGGTGTGGAAAATTGCTGTCCAGTTGTGGCATCAGTTTCTGACCCATAAATACCATCTCAGCTCCTCCCCTTGGTTCCTCCCGGGAAGACCTCACTAGTCTTCCTCCGGTTTTTGGAAATCCATTCTCGATCTCCATCTCTTTAAAACCCATATTCGCTTCCATCCTAGAGTGAGGGACAGAATTAGGTTCTGGAATGATTTCTGGATTGGCCATATTCCCCTAATGTTTGCTTCCCCAGCTTGTATCGACTAGCAAGAGATCCTGAGGCCCTGCTTATGGACCGTCAAAACCCTTGAGTATGGAACCCTGACTTTCGTAGAGATCCAACAGACGAGGGATCCCCGGCCTTCATGGAACTCTCCCCTTTACTTCATTACCTCTCCACCTGCCCAAGGAGAAGACCAAATTTTATGGTTTCCTACTCCTCAAGGAGTCTTTTCAGTCTCTTCTTTCTACCTAAAACTCATTACCCTCCAGCCAAACTCTCTCTCCAGCAGCTGTCTTCATCCCTAGCTTGGGTTCACTAATCCCCCCAAATATCCAGGTCTTCAACTGGGTGGCCATTTTGGAGTGAGCTTTGACGGTTGATCAACTACAAAAATGGGGATTGCAACTTCCCGACCTCTGTGTTAGGTGCATGGCAGATGAAGAAACAAACTCTCGCCTATTCATCCATTGCACCACAGTTGGCCTTTTGTGGGAAGACCTTCTCCAATTGTTCAGGTGGTCGTGGGTTACACCACAGTTAGTGCCCTAGCTCTTCCGCCTTATGCAATTTTTACCTTGGCCTAGATTGGGGTTCATGCTTTGGAAGGCCTCAGTGGCCGCAAACCTGTGGACCCTCTGGAGAGAAAGCAATCCAAGGATTTTTCAGGGCTAATTTTCTCATTGAGAAACCTTAAAAGCCAAAGTCAGGTCCACGGTGATATTCTGGGCCACCAACCACAACCACTACCACTGCAAGCTTCTTTCCTCCTCGGACCTCCACCATTCTCCACAGATCGAGACCGGTTTCTTGTGCATCCCTGTGGAGGCCTCAGGTCCCTCGGCAAACCAAGTTATATTTTGATGGTTGCTCCATGGGTAAACCAGGCCCAGTGCGCATCGGGGGCCTCGTTAGGAACCATGTTGGTGCCACTCTCCTTTACTTCGCTCTCCCAATTGGCATTGCGGATTACACCTCAGCGAAAGCCTGTGCGCTCTTGGAGGGACTCAAACTCTTCAACCTGTCTTGGAGCACAGTCCTTATGTCGAGGGTGACTTGAGAAACGTTATCTCCTAGGCCTCAAGAGGCCCCCCCCCCCTGGAGACTCACAGCAGGATTTGATGAAATCTTTGATATTTGCGACCGTACACAGGTCTTATGGAGCATACTTGGCGCGAGGCCAACCACGTGGTCGACACTCTTCCTAAGGAGGTTGCCTCTCTAACTATCCCTAGTAGATCTTTCGCTGTGCTGGATTCTAGAATGCTTTGAATTTCCATTTTGTTTTTTGGTTGTAACCTTTTGATTTATATCAATTTTACTTTGGTCACCTCTTCGGTGGCAGAAAATTGCCCCTTGCTAGGGGCATTTTTGTATATTGTACATTCCTCTTACTTAATACAGTACAGTAAACAGTTTAAAAAAAAACGAATTGTATGGGTTTGATAGGCAGCTAGGTTATGGTTAAGTTTAAGATGATGCAGTAATGTGGGGGTTGAGGAACTGACACTTAAATGGTGGAAATCACCAAGAAGCTTAAGGAAGCCAGTCTTTACTCAATTCCCAAACTTCATGGCTTGGCCATAGGGCTAATACATATATTTACAGTGGTTTTTGATGTCTAGTGCTAGCTTGGCTTGGATTGCAGGAAACCTTAAGACTTAACTTTTCGAAAATAGGAAATGCTCATGAAAAAAATGAAAGCTATGAAAACGATAATTAATTTAGGATTTCTAATAAAACTCAGCTAGCTAAAGCTAAAATTTGTCACCAAGTTTCCGGCCATAATTGAAGGTTGGACCACAACGGAAAATTTATAGAAATAGAGATTGTAGATCTTGAAGAGATCTTTCAGATATGCTTTGGCACACCTCACACTGGCATCTGGGTGAAAAGTTACGTCTCCTGGAAGCAATATGCATCACTATGCGGTTTCTATTTTGCTATCATAATCATCAAAATTAGTACTTCTTGGTTACGCTTTCCTGACTTTTTCTTTCTCATGTTGGCTTTTTATTTATCTTTTTGTATTAACCTCTCTATTTTGATATTCTCATTTCTTTGCTGAGGTAATTCTTTGTTTCCTGTTTATTTCATTTTCTTGTGTTCATTAATCTTCTCCCCAAGATGTCAAACCAATTCGTATTTAGAGGCGGACAAGTGTACTCTTTTCCTGGCTAAGTACATTGTCAGGTCTGAGTTCCTTGGTAGGCCTGTATCTGATTGGGATGTTCTTCTCAATGGTGTTTCCCTTTGCTTCAGTTTACTATGTTATATACTTCATACATTTCAATGAATGAAACATCATTACCTATTAAAAAGCCATGGCTATAGCCCGAACTCGTGATGCATTGAAGATGGAAATAATAATAATTCAGTGTCAGTATCTTTTGAGGTAAATTTCGTTTCCGTTAGTAGGCATCTGAACTTTTACTGACACTCCTAGTGAACGAATAAAATAAATTTTTATCTTTTGTTTGTTCTTGTCCATTGAGATATGACCTGCAAACTTGACGCAACTGTAAAATTTAGCAGCTTATTACTCTGTGTATATTTATTCCGACAATGTGCCTTAATTTTAAGGACCCTTCCGACAAGAGGAGAATCATCTGTGACAAGAAGCTGAAGGAATTGTTAGAAGTTGACACGTTCAATGGCTTTAGCGTAGCAAAGCTGTTGGCCCCGCATTTCATTAAAACCGAATAGTGATCAGCCCCTTGCAGTGCTGCTTGCACAAAAAGAGCAAGCACATGCGAGTTTTGTTAGTATGAGAGGTAATATAACAAGACAATAATTTACAAAGACATGCTTATGTTTTATTTATTGCGTTTTGCTCTTAGCCCATGTTTGTTTTTCTTCTTACAGATTAAGTTGAAAGGAAATTCAGGGAATCTGGAAATTGTTGCCTATATCTTGAGCAAATGTCATGACATTCTCTTTATTCTGTTGTTTTTGTGTTTCCAATTTGTTTTTTGCCGTCTTACAGGTGCTGGTCCCCTATAAATTTAAGAATTATCTTTTAACTTCTTTTATAGCCAATTAAGGGCAATTATATCAGTTCTTGTTCAGTGAATATGCCAATTTATTTGATCTCATTTTCTTTCTCTTCTGCATTTATTAGGACATGATGTATAGGTTGTGTTGGATGAGCTCCTGGAAATATTTTGTTGTTTATAAATATATATGCCTGACAAATATCTCCATGTCATGAAAATCTTGATGAAACTTAAATTTCAGAAATAAAGAACCTAAATCGTTCGTAAAAAAAACTAAAAAGGAATACATCCAATAATTTTTCTTTTGTGATTTGTGAAGTTTTCTTAGCAATTTCTGAGTTTTTCCTTTCATTAACTGAAACAAAGCTAAAAAGAACAGGGAGGCTTTCAAAATTTCAGTTCTCATCAGTAAATTCCCGTGAACAAATTTTGTCAATGTTGTGTTAACCATTTACGCGTTGTTTCGACATTCTGTTTTTTCAGGTTAGAAATAAAGCTCCCTTAAAACTGTCTCAATTAAGTGTCATACTACTTGATGTGTCACTTTTCTGTGATACCTTTTCAGGAATTAAACCCCATGCCGCCAAGAGGGGGTTTTGCTGATAAAAGAAAAGGCTCGTTTGCTGTTATCGGCAGAAAAATATGGATATTGTCAAGAGCTTTTATATGATTTTTGAGTGCCTATTTTTTAAAGGGTGTGGTTTCTATAAGGTTGCAACCTTAAACAATCCAATTGAGGCGCACCTCCAAATTTTATCATAATATGTAATTTTGGTCTAAATTTTCTTTAGGATTATCTGAAATTATATTTTCGTATCTAATTATATAATTTTAAACTTCAAAAATAGTTAAAATCAAGTAAATCTATAAACATATGAAAATCTTAAAAATGGATGGTCTAGATATTGTTTTGTAAGATGCACTATTTTTGAGACTCAATGTTTTTCTTTTATATTCATGCATCTCGATGTCTAGATGATCAATTAGAGGGTTTTTCAACATTAAAACAACTTTTTCTTATAGATTTAGAAGTGCATGTACAATTCTACATTTTAAGGTTGCAATTATAGTTAGCAAGTCGGCATTTAAAACGTGACTTTTTAAAAAAAAAGTACAGGGTTTTTTACAAAAACGTTTAAAACTGTGACTTTTTTTTTAAAAGAATTGAAAAAATATGCGCTTTTTTCACATAAACCTTTAAAATGCGCCTTTCAATCTTTATGAAAGAATCGGTCCAAAAAAACTTTGCCTTCTTAATACAATATTTTTTCTTTTCTAGAAGGCAAATTTTTTTTTCCTGTTTTGTGTAATTGTTATTTCCATGCTTTCTAAAAAGTAAAAATACATTATTTCCAAAAAAAAAAATTCCCTAAAAAATCAATTTTTATCCCCAATTATATTGTTAGGGTTGATTATCTTAGGGTTATGCTCAAATCCATTGAATTAAATTAGAATAAAATATCATAAAAATCATTGAATAAAAAATCCTCAAATTTTGACTTGGCAAATTCCACTAAAAAATCCATCCAAATTAGGGTTCAAAGAGCCAGATTATCATAATTTGTACATCTTAAATCCCTAAAACAAAAGTTAAGAGTAATAAAAATAAATAAAAGAATAAAATTAAATTAGAGCTCAATCCCTAATCCTAATTAATGACTATAAATCTTAGATTAGTAAATCCTTAAAACAAAAACTTCAAAAAAAAAAAGCCCTCTCAATCTCCAAACTTAACTCATGATTGGAAATCTTGGATTCGGGTTTAGATCCATCGTGTTCTTCATCTTCTTAGAGATTTTATGTCCATATTGTTTCTATGTGCTTATGCATGCTCTCTCTCTCACTTTGTGTTTCTTTATGGAAGATTTTGTGTTTGCTTCTCTCTCACTCTGTATATTGTTCGTCTTCTTGTTCTATGTTTCTTCTTGGTCTACTGTGTTTATTGCTCGGATAACCAAAAAAGGTGTACATTTTCCCATTGTTTCACTATGGTTATAAAGGGACGATCACCATACGGAGAGAGAAATGAATATACTCAACTCAATTATACTTATCTCACATTGCTTTCATTTTCTTTTTTGCGTCATGTACTAAAGTATGTGTGATGTTTGTTAAAGCATTTAATGAGAAAATTCATCTCGTATATTTGTCAGCAACTTATCAGTTTATTTTTTTATTTCTACTTAATTTTATTTTAATTTTTTCTTAATTTTATTTTAATTTCTGCTTAATTTTATTTTAAACATGTCTTTTTTTTCACTCCGATTTTTTGAGCCTAGTCTGATATATTTGTGATATTTTTACATAAAGTATTTTTGTCAATCCGTATTTTTTACTCGATTTTTTCATTTAACTTTTTAAATAAAAACGATTTATTTTCGATTTTATGGGGAGCTGTTATATTTATCTTCCCAACTTGCTAACTATGCTTGCAACTTTATATAAAATATTTCCTTCTTTAAAATGCCGTTAATGGTAGATAAAAATAAGGCTGGAACAGGCTACCTGGACGACGTCACACAAGCCTTCGCATTATTACCCATAGACATAAATTTACTGCATGGAGAATTGTTGCGGGCTGGACTGCATTTCTAGATATGCATTCAGAAAGTGTGAAGCATCTATTTTAAAATGGAAACTAGCTATTCAGATGTTTTTTTACTAAAATTATTATTTTTAGTTTTTAAAATTTATTTATTTATTCATATTCATGATCTCCATGTTAGAGATTACATGTCTTTAAAAATTAAGTCTTAAAATCCATCTCAAAAATAGATTTATTAAGAGGCATGCATTTTTACATATGCGGCATCAGTCACATTGAAACCAGGTCCTTATTGAATTCCTTGCCGGATTAGACTTATAACCAGCATTTGCAAAGTCGGCCGAGCAATCTCTACTCAGCCGATTTTCTCGGGCTTGGGCCCTTGCAGAGCAGTTGTCTCGATTGGAGTCCAACTCGGGTATTTAAAGAAAACCAAATTAAAATAATTATAAAAATATTTTAAAAAATAAGAAATATATTTGAAACATGTTTATTTAAGTTCTTTATCATTTGGCAAATATTAGAAAGTATTTTGGCCATAAATACTTATATTTACATTTTCTCACCTTTTTTAAAAACATTTGCTACTTTTTAACTACAATTTGTTGTGTTTTGTTAAATTTTATTTTAAATATATTTTTCCTATTTATTGAGATTTTTTATTTTTAAATTTTTTAATAATTTTCAGGTGCTGGAGGTCTCGACGGGCCGAGTTACTCAAACTCGGGCGAGCACGCGTGCTGGGGACATGGGCCGAGTAGTCGACTTTTCCAACACTGCTTATAACAGTAGCACAACTATTCCATTTTTAAACTCTCATCATTTTCGTCAAAATTCTATCATTCTTTCCTTTCCCTGTACGTGCTCTCTCTCTCTCTCTCTCTCTCTCTTCTCCCACGTCGCGAATCCGATTGTTTTTGCCCTGTAGGAATCGGAGCCAGACTTTTTCGTGCCCCTTATTTCTCTCTACAAAATTAAAATCCTAAGCGTACGGTGCCTATGGAAAACAAATTGTGAAAGCCTTAGACGTGGTCACTTCAACGAGTCGTACTAGTCTCTGGGAGTAAGAGACACGAAAAGCTACAAATGTGGATCAAAAGAGTGCCCTTGATGCCTTCTTAAATATTAGTAAATGAATGGGGTCTCACCCTCAAAATACTTCTCTCTCATCCATTTTAAACATTCAAAATCTCTCTTTCTCTCTCTTTTCCATTTTACATAATTCAAAGTCGCACTCACTCTATTCCATTTTACATATTCAAAGTCTGTCTCTCACACACACACACACAAACTAGACACATGAGGATCAGATAAGATAACAAAAAAAGTTCCTGATCCCATATGGTTCAGGTGAAAATTCCAAAAAGCAGTGGAGTGCAGAAAAAAACAACACTGGGTTTCATGTAGTCAATGGAAAAAGGCCTAGAAAGTGAAGAACATAAAAAGGAGAGTGGCACTTGAGGCACAGGGCATGGACTTATAAATGAAGGAACACAGCAACCACCATCCATCATGGACTCCCACAAGACCAACACCTTCTTCATTGCTTCACAAAAGGGGTTACCTTTGCCTTGTAATCATTAGGGTTGGGTGGAAGATTCTTTTCCTTGTTACAAAAAGTCCTATCATGCGTACTGGATGAGAGTGCAAAAACTGTAGAGAGAGAAACTTTCTCTCTCTACCCTTCACTTTCTCTTTCTACCCCCCTTCCACTTAAAAGTCAAAAGTGGCAACCCCACATCCATACAAAACAAATTACTTGCTTTGGAACAGACATTTACTATAGAGAAAGAGAGACCTCCTTTCTAATTAAAAGTCAAAAGTGGCATCTTCACACCCAAACAAATCAAGTAACTTGCTTTGGAACTTTGGAATCCTTATTTAGAGAGAGAGAGAGAGTCCCAAGTTTTTTTTTTTTTTTTGGAGAAATAAATAACTCCCCCAAGTCAAAAGTCGCATCTCCACATCCAAAAAAAAAATTTATCTAATGAAATTTTTTTTTTTTTTACTGCCATGAAGCCTTTTCCCTATTTAACTAATATTAAGTAAAGAAGCTCCCAAGTCATGATGACAATGGATAAGAACTTGAATTCCTACTAAAGATTGAGAATCTTATTTATTTATTGACTCACTAATCCATTATTCAATTGATTTTTATAACTAGGGAATAAATAATTATTTGATGAACTTGTTTATTCATTTTGTTGACATGGGAATCATGAGATAAGGCAGGTAGCCAAACGCAGGTGCATTACAACCAAGAATAATTCCCAAGGATCTCATCTCAACCGCTTTATCCAAGGGTATTTTTGGTATTTTATTAAATATTGTGCCAAGGGTATTTTTGGTATTCTAGAAAATGCTATGCGAATTTGAAGAGGGGAAAGGTTTTTGACAGGGGTTACTCAGGCTGTGTTGGTAAAAAAATATTGACTTGAAGGAGGGGTAAATTGCCAAAGCACCCATGATAAATAATAAAATGACCAAAATCATGAGAATCCATAGAGATGCTCCTTAGGAATTGATTACTGTTGGTGTGTGCAGCCCATGGCATAAAGTGTGTAGCCTCTGTTGGAGACTAAACGGTCCCCTCCATTATGTTCAGTTTCATCATTTTAGGTCGATTCCCAACTCTCTCTTTCTCTCTCTAACAT